AGGTGTAAAAAGGGTACAAAAGGTATAAAAAAGAAGGTAAAAATAGGTTGATACATAAAAACTTTTATTTCAGCTTCAAATATCGAAAAAATTATTGTTAAAATTTATAGGCAATACATTTTTAACTGCTTTTATTCATACCAAATATCTCAATATGAAAAGATCATATTAAAATTGGCTCAAGGTGGTTCTGCTCTATACTAAAAAAAAAGATAGTAGTTTGTTGAATAACCCAAGGTATATATAGTTTATATTTTGAATGGTAATACTGCTTAAATCTAATAAAAAGTAAAGTATAAGGCAGTATCTTCATTACATGACACAGAGTCTACTTTTCCAATGGTATTGCCCAACTATGCAATCCTGATAGTACTTATTTAGACTTAAATGTATTAAGACAGAGTTCAGGTGTCAAATAAGAGCTACAAATATAATATTCACCCACAACATCTCTCGCAATATCCTGTGTTGATAAAACATACAGTTGGCTTAAATATTGCTTTAGTTTTCTTGGCCAACAGACTGTTATATAACCAATAAGCACCAGGCTTATTTTGTTTAAAATAGTTTAGATATGAGATGCAAGTATAAGCAGTAAGTAACAAGATATGTATAGTTGAATAATGTATACTCCGTATTATATTAGCTATAAGTTTACAAAGTTAGTGTCACAGGCCTCTTCAATTGATTTGCTGGCAATTAAAGTTGGGCAACAACCCAATGAGCCTCAACTAAACATTCCACCGTATATGTTTCAAAATCTAAGACTTTTTATGTAAGTATATGGCTAAATTAAAATAGGTATATATATTAAATAAAATTTCAATACTTTTATTAAAATAGATATATGTTAAAATAGTTTTACTTGCAGTATTTTTAAAATACTTATCCTGATAAAGTAGTTTTTAAAAGTTATGCTCTGAAGTAATGGAAGATAAGCAAGGATACATATTTTAAAAATTAGAAATACACCGAATATATTTGGACATTAAAGCCTTCATCGTTTGCTAAGGTCGGCGACTAGGGAAACACAGGTAATATATATAACCGCAGGTAATATATATAACCGCACAGATTAACCTATGCCATGGATTTTAAACGGTGAAAATCAGAGAAGTTCACTGTAACACCCCCAAATTTCCCTCCCAAAAATACATTTAAATAATGTTTATTTCAAAGGAGTTATCAATTTCATTTGAAAATATCAGAATTACAGCGGAAGTCTTTAATTGGGAAATGGGTGTTACCGCCACATCCGGTCATCTCTTAACCGAATGCACAGGCTATTCCAAAACAAAATAGAGTAAAACAAGTGTTCAACATAATTGAATTATAATTCTTGACTAGGTTTGACTAAGGCATCTCTAAACCGCTCTCGTGGTCATACAATCATCAGTCCACATAAGCATCATCACCTGCACAAATAATAAAGTGCAGAAAACAAAACAAAGAAAAGGGAACAAAAATTAGCTTTAGAGCTAAGTAAGTACTACCCAACCCCGTAAAATAATCAGGTTTGGCTAAAAATAGTTTTTCATAAAATACTATATAAAAATGACACACTCCACCAAAATCCTTTTCTCTTTGATATTTCTCAAAATCACTTCTTTAATAAAGTCCTCAACTTTTCTTTGAAAATACTATAGTAACTCTTCTCTTAGATTTTCTCAAAATTCACTTCTTCTCTATCTTCCTAGTAATTTAGAAGGGCGGTGCTCAACCTTTTGACTGAGCCCGGTGGACCGTGGTTACGGACGGCCACCCCGAACAAGTGCCGGTACCACAACTGCTCTTGCGGAAACGAAACGACTACCTTAAGTGTGCACACCCCCTAAAAGGGATTCCAAGCCCTCCGAGTAGTAAGTCGTCACGAGTAATCGGGACTCAGTCTACCAACTACCCCTGAATAAGATATCTTTGAATGATTAGGAACTACTACTACAACTCTGCTTCTTAAAAGGGATCATCGATCTAATTATCACTCAAAACTTATCCTCACCCTTAGCAGTAGCAGCCCTTTTACGTCGGAACTACTACTGCTACCACAACTCTCCTTCTTAAAAGGGATCATCGATCCGAAAGTTACTCAAAAATCTCTTCTTAGTAGTAGCCCTAACCACTCTCCACATTTTAAGGGACGTGGAAAACCAACACCTCGGATTACTCCCGAGATGCCTACCTCTTATGAAATCATTCTTTTATCTTGAATTAATATACTTCAAAATATTCCTCAATTTCTCAAATTGCCTCAAAATGTTTAAATAAAATATTTAATACCCAAAAGCATTTAGTTTCACTTCTCAAATATCACAGATCCAACAATCTCAAAATCTCATACATATACATCATAACTCACATTAAAATCATGTATCACATAATACATATATAATACGAGGAAACGATTTTGGATCGGCAGAGAAACTTACCTCAAATTCAATGTTTCTATTCCTCTTCCTCTATTGCGGCCTCTAGATAATCACCTTTTTAATTAAAATGATATAATTAGTCACTTATTCTATTTGTTAATAATTTATCCGATTTACCTCTTTTTATTAATATGAGTAATTATTTACTCGAACTTAGTTTATCTATTAATTAATATTTTAAATCTGGCCTTATCTTGATCGATATCCAATATCCGAGTTTATAAGTAATTTACTAGTCATCATCAATTAAATCTGACTTTGTAAATAAAATATCCGAATCATTAATAATTATATTTTAATATTAATAAAATATAGGAATATAATCATGTCTATATGTTACATATTCAAATTATATGTTATAATTAATGGATCCGCATTATAAACTCTTTTTAATTTTAGTTTATTTAGTTCATCTTAATATCTTTTAATCTATCTAATTTAGTATAACTAGCCTAGTTGATAAATGATTTGGCCCAACTAATCAATGCTCTAGTCTTTTAAAAATAAAACAACGCAGCTTGAGTAAGAAGAAGCTAAGGGAAGACGATGGTTACTGTAGGTGCGACGTTCTCACGGAAGGAAGAAGGAGCGTCGTTCTAACCAGACCAAGGAGAGTCCAGCTCTGTAGCTGCTCTAGCGATGTCAACTCCGAAGGTGGTGTGGCGATTTGGCAGCATTTCTGCCGTGAAAAACCAGTCCGGCAAACTCCGGCAATCTTTTTCGACCCTCCGGTGACCTTCTTGCCTCTGAGCAACTACGTATTCCTTCTCTCCTATTCTTGTGACTAAGTTTGTGATGTTTTTAGTTTTGGTTTTAGTATATATGCTTACCTCAGCATAGGTATATATAATATACACTAAATTACATGAATTAAGTATATACTTCGTATATACTATGGTATATATGAGTGTATATGAGCAGCGGTAGGATGATGGTGTGAAAAATAACTTGCCGCTCCTCCCTATTTATACTTCTCAGCCGAAGCCTCTCGTGATTATCCGATTGCACAACCATATTATCATGTGAGCATGTATGATAGGAAGGGAAAGACAAATGCATGTGGGTGAAATCCCTTGGTACCTTGGATCATACTTTGTATTTGCCTAAGACCCATGCTCGTGCATTGCAGACCCATGTGCAAGTATCTTTGGGGTTGGTTTCAAAAAAATAATATAAGGAGTAGCAATTATATTATAGATATATTCCTTCACATGTATTGTTTGTATGTTGTGTAGCATGACTTGATGGCCGGGGTAAGGCATGGTGCATGTATATTATTGGTACTATGTATGTGGTTATTATTATTACTATGATATGTACTTCGTATATTATTGCTATATTATGTCTATATTATTATTGTTGTATATTATTATTGTTTTGGCTCTATTATTGACATGTTTAATGAGGTAGTCATACCATACAAATTATTAGTCCTATTACTCCTATGCGCAGAACATACATGTGATAGTGTATTTTATATCTGATGCATGTGTATTTTAATTTATGTGTGAACATATTCTTATCCGCCCCTTTTTAAAATAATATGTCTCTTTTAGAGTTCATCATATGTTCTCAAAATTCCTCACTTATAAAACAAACCTCCCTTTCACTATTTAAGTCATTAAAATTTTATTTGATTTACTGAATTATTAAAATGTCATTTTCGTAACATTTTACTTGACTAATAAAATTATTTATTTTACATTAGTTTTTCGGGGTATCACATTCTACCCTCCTTAAAAGATGTTTCGTCCCGAAACATAAACTAAAGAAAATTTTATCCACAAATGAATACCACATCTTAGTTAATATTAATAATTTTTTTTTTAAATTTATGGAGTGTCACATTCTACCCTCCTTACAAGACGCTTCGTCCCGAAGCATAAGTTAAGAAAATTATTCATGTACACAATTAACAGTTATCATGTGTTAGTTTATATTAAATCTTTTTTTTTATTAAATTTTAGGAGTGTCACATTCTACCCTCCTTAAAAGAATGTTTCGTCCCTGAAGCATGATACTAAAATTTTCCATAGGAATGCCCTTATCCTACATCCTATAATGAAAATATAGGAGCAAATAGCACATAAGCCTTAGTGCTAATTCTTTCCTAGGGGAATATAACACCAATATGCCTATTTCAAGAGATAATTAATATTCACATTATTCCACACAAGCATGAAATCAACAACTCACAAGCTCACCACGGTCCTAAATGTTTTTACGAAGAGTTCCTTAAACCGTTTATTGTTCCTAAGTTCTTCTCATTGAAACGCATTTAGAAAAACGGTATCCATTTTCATTTGTTTAATTTAAAGAAGAACATTTGAGGAAAACTTCTTGAAAAATTTCAGCAGGTTTTTAGAAAACAAAGACTCAAATACTAACTTGTTGATATCACCGATTGAAGTTTTAGAAAATCTCAGAAATTGTTGAAAACTCTTGTTGAAAACATAGTCACTTGAGGAAAGCTTTTATTTGAAAATTCCCAATTTAAAAATAGTAGCCTCTAATACCAATTTGTAACACCCCCAAATTTCCCTCCCAAAAATACATTTAAATAATGTTTATTTCAAAGGAGTTATCAATTTCATTTGAAAATATCAGAATTACAGCGGAAGTCTTTAATTGGGAAATGGGTGTTACCGCCACATCCGGTCATCTCTTAACCGAATGCACAGGCTATTCCAAAACAAAATAGAGTAAAACAAGTGTTCAACATAATTGAATTATAATTCTTGACTAGGTTTGACTAAGGCATCTCTAAACCGCTCTCGTGGTCATACAATCATCAGTCCACATAAGCATCATCACCTGCACAAATAATAAAGTGCAGAAAACAAAACAAAGAAAAGGGAACAAAAATTAGCTTTAGAGCTAAGTAAGTACTACCCAACCCCGTAAAATAATCAGGTTTGGCTAAAAATAGTTTTTCATAAAATACTATATAAAAATGACACACTCCACCAAAATCCTTTTCTCTTTGATATTTCTCAAAATCACTTCTTTAATAAAGTCCTCAACTTTTCTTTGAAAATACTATAGTAACTCTTCTCTTAGATTTTCTCAAAATTCACTTCTTCTCTATCTTCCTAGTAATTTAGAAGGGCGGTGCTCAACCTTTTGACTGAGCCCGGTGGACCGTGGTTACGGACGGCCACCCCGAACAAGTGCCGGTACCACAACTGCTCTTGCGGAAACGAAACGACTACCTTAAGTGTGCACACCCCCTAAAAGGGATTCCAAGCCCTCCGAGTAGTAAGTCGTCACGAGTAATCGGGACTCAGTCTACCAACTACCCCTGAATAAGATATCTTTGAATGATTAGGGACTACTACTACAACTCTGCTTCTTAAAAGGGATCATCGATCCAATTATCACTCAGAACTTATCCTCACCCTTAACAGTAGCAGCCCTTTTACGTCGGAACTACTACTGCTACCACAACTCTCCTTCTTAAAAGGGATCATCGATCCGAAAGTTACTCAAAAATCTCTTCTTAGTAGTAGCCCTAACCACTCTCCACATTTTAAGGGACGTGGAAAACCAACACCTCGGATTACTCCCGAGATGCCTACCTCTTATGAAATCATTCTTTTATCTTGAATTAATATACTTCAAAATATTCCTCAATTTCTCAAACTGCCTCAAAATGTTTAAATAAAATATTTAATACCCAAAAGCATTTAGTTTCACTTCTCAAATATCACAGATCCAACAATCTCAAAATCTCATACATATACATCATAACTCACATTAAAATCATGTATCACATAATACATATATAATACGAGGAAACGATTTTGGATCGGCAGAGAAACTTACCTCAAATTCAATGTTTCTATTCCTCTTCCTCTATTGCGGCCTCTAGATAATCACCTTTTTAATTAAAATGATATAATTAGTCACTTATTCTATTTGTTAATAATTTATCCGATTTACCTCTTTTTATTAATATGAGTAATTATTTACTCGAACTTAGTTTATCTATTAATTAATATTTTAAATCTGGCCTTATCTTGATCGATATCCAATATCCGAGTTTATAAGTAATTTACTAGTCATCATCAATTAAATCTGACTTTGTAAATAAAATATCCGAATCATTAATAATTATATTTTAATATTAATAAAATATAGGAATATAATCATGTCTATATGTTACATATTCAAATTATATGTTATAATTAATGGATCCGCATTATAAACTCTTTTTAATTTTAGTTTATTTAGTTCATCTTAATATCTTTTAATCTATCTAATTTAGTATAACTAGCCTAGTTGATAAATGATTTGGCCCAACTAATCAATGCTCTAGTCTTTTAAAAATAAAACAACGCAGCTTGAGTAAGAAGAAGCTAAGGGAAGACGATGGTTACTGTAGGTGCGACGTTCTCACGGAAGGAAGAAGGAGCGTCGTTCTAACCAGACCAAGGAGAGTCCAGCTCTGTAGCTGCTCTAGCGATGTCAACTCCGAAGGTGGTGTGGCGATTTGGCAGCATTTCTGCCGTGAAAAACCAGTCCGGCAAACTCCGGCAATCTTTTTCGACCCTCCGGTGACCTTCTTGCCTCTGAGCAACTACGTATTCCTTCTCTCCTATTCTTGTGACTAAGTTTGTGATGTTTTTAGTTTTGGTTTTAGTATATATGCTTACCTCAGCATAGGTATATATAATATACACTAAATTACATGAATTAAGTATATACTTCGTATATACTATGGTATATATGAGTGTATATGAGCAGCGGTAGGATGATGGTGTGAAAAATAACTTGCCGCTCCTCCCTATTTATACTTCTCAGCCGAAGCCTCTCGTGATTATCCGATTGCACAACCATATTATCATGTGAGCATGTATGATAGGAAGGGAAAGACAAATGCATGTGGGTGAAATCCCTTGGTACCTTGGATCATACTTTGTATTTGCCTAAGACCCATGCTCGTGCATTGCAGACCCATGTGCAAGTATCTTTGGGGTTGGTTTCAAAAAAATAATATAAGGAGTAGCAATTATATTATAGATATATTCCTTCACATGTATTGTTTGTATGTTGTGTAGCATGACTTGATGGCCGGGGTAAGGCATGGTGCATGTATATTATTGGTACTATGTATGTGGTTATTATTATTACTATGATATGTACTTCGTATATTATTGCTATATTATGTCTATATTATTATTGTTGTATATTATTATTGTTTTGGCTCTATTATTGACATGTTTAATGAGGTAGTCATACCATACAAATTATTAGTCCTATTACTCCTATGCGCAGAACATACATGTGATAGTGTATTTTATATCTGATGCATGTGTATTTTAATTTATGTGTGAACATATTCTTATCCGCCCCTTTTTAAAATAATATGTCTCTTTTAGAGTTCATCATATGTTCTCAAAATTCCTCACTTATAAAACAAACCTCCCTTTCACTATTTAAGTCATTAAAATTTTATTTGATTTACTGAATTATTAAAATGTCATTTTCGTAACATTTTACTTGACTAATAAAATTATTTATTTTACATTAGTTTTTCGGGGTATCACATTCTACCCTCCTTAAAAGATGTTTCGTCCCGAAACATAAACTAAAGAAAATTTTATCCACAAATGAATACCACATCTTAGTTAATATTAATAATTTTTTTTTTTAAATTTATGGAGTGTCACATTCTACCCTCCTTACAAGACGCTTCGTCCCGAAGCATAAGTTAAGAAAATTATTCATGTACACAATTAACAGTTATCATGTGTTAGTTTATATTAAATCTTTTTTTTATTAAATTTTAGGAGTGTCACATTCTACCCTCCTTAAAAGAATGTTTCGTCCCTGAAGCATGATACTAAAATTTTCCATAGGAATGCCCTTATCCTACATCCTATAATGAAAATATAGGAGCAAATAGCACATAAGCCTTAGTGCTAATTCTTTCCTAGGGGAATATAACACCAATATGCCTATTTCAAGAGATAATTAATATTCACATTATTCCACACAAGCATGAAATCAACAACTCACAAGCTCACCACGGTCCTAAATGTTTTTACGAAGAGTTCCTTAAACCGTTTATTGTTCCTAAGTTCTTCTCATTGAAACGCATTTAGAAAAACGGTATCCATTTTCATTTGTTTAATTTAAAGAAGAACATTTGAGGAAAACTTCTTGAAAAATTTCAGCAGGTTTTTAGAAAACAAAGACTCAAATACTAACTTGTTGATATCACCGATTGAAGTTTTAGAAAATCTCAGAAATTGTTGAAAACTCTTGTTGAAAACATAGTCACTTGAGGAAAGCTTTTATTTGAAAATTCCCAATTTAAAAATAGTAGCCTCTAATACCAATTTGTAACACCCCCAAATTTCCCTCCCAAAAATACATTTAAATAATGTTTATTTCAAAGGAGTTATCAATTTCATTTGAAAATATCAGAAATACAGCGGAAGTCTTTAATTGGGAAATGGGTGTTACCGCCACATCCGGTCATCTCTTAACCGAATGCACAGGCTATTCCAAAACAAAATAGAGTAAAACAAGTGTTCAACATAATTGAATTATAATTCTTGACTAGGTTTGACTAAGGCATCTCTAAACCGCTCTCGTGGTCATACAATCATCAGTCCACATAAGCATCATCACCTGCACAAATAAAGTGCAGAAAACAAAACAAAGAAAAGGGAACAAAAATTAGCTTTAGAGCTAAGTAAGTACTACCCAACCCCGTAAAATAATCAGGTTTGGCTAAAAATAGTTTTTCATATAATACTATATAAAAATGACACACTCCACCAAAATCCTTTTCTCTTTGATATTTCTCAAAATCACTTCTTTAATAAAGTCCTCAACTTTTCTTTGAAAATACTATAGTAACTCTTCTCTTAGATTTTCTCAAAATTCACTTCTTCTCTATCTTCCTAGTAATTTAGAAGGGCGGTGCTCAACCTTTTGACTGAGCCCGGTGGACCGTGGTTACGGACGGCCACCCCGAACAAGTGCCGGTACCACAACTGCTCTTGCGGAAACGAAACGACTACCTTAAGTGTGCACACCCCCTAAAAGGGATTCCAAGCCCTCCGAGTAGTAAGTCGTCACGAGTAATCGGGACTCAGTCTACCAACTACCCCTGAATAAGATATCTTTGAATGATTAGAGACTACTACTACAACTCTGCTTCTTAAAAGGGATCATCGATCCAATTATCACTCAGAACTTATCCTCACCCTTAGCAGTAGCAGCCCTTTTACGTCGGAACTACTACTGCTACCACAACTCTCCTTCTTAAAAGGGATCATCGATCCGAAAGTTACTCAAAAATCTCTTCTTAGTAGTAGCCCTAACCACTCTCCACATTTTAAGGGACGTGGAAAACCAACACCTCGGATTACTCCCGAGATGCCTACCTCTTATGAAATCATTCTTTTATCTTGAATTAATATACTTCAAAATATTCCTCAATTTCTCAAACTGCCTCAAAATGTTTAAATAAAATATTTAATACCCAAAAGCATTTAGTTTCACTTCTCAAATATCACAGATCCAACAATCTCAAAATCTCATACATATACATCATAACTCACATTAAAATCATGTATCACATAATACATATATAATACGAGGAAACGATTTTGGATCGGCAGAGAAACTTACCTCAAATTCAATGTTTCTATTCCTCTTCCTCTATTGCGGCCTCTAGATAATCACCTTTTTAATTAAAATGATATAATTAGTCACTTATTCTATTTGTTAATAATTTATCCGATTTACCTCTTTTTATTAATATGAGTAATTATTTACTCGAACTTAGTTTATCTATTAATTAATATTTTAAATCTGGCCTTATCTTGATCGATATCCAATATCCGAGTTTATAACTAATTTACTAGTCATCATCAATTAAATCTGACTTTGTAAATAAAATATCCGAATCATTAATAATTATATTTTAATATTAATAAAATATAGGAATATAATCATGTCTATATGTTACATATTCAAATTATATGTTATAATTAATGGATCCGCATTATAAACTCTTTTTAATTTTAGTTTATTTAGTTCATCTTAATATCTTTTAATCTATCTAATTTAGTATAACTAGCCTAGTTGATAAATGATTTGGCCCAACTAATCAATGCTCTAGTCTTTTAAAAATAAAACAACGCAGCTTGAGTAAGAAGAAGCTAAGGGAAGACGATGGTTACTGTAGGTGCGACGTTCTCACGGAAGGAAGAAGGAGCGTCGTTCTAACCAGACCAAGGAGAGTCCAGCTCTGTAGCTGCTCTAGCGATGTCAACTCCGAAGGTGGTGTGGCGATTTGGCAGCATTTCTGCCGTGAAAAACCAGTCCGGCAAACTCCGGCAATCTTTTTCGACCCTCCGGTGACCTTCTTGCCTCTGAGCAACTACGTATTCCTTCTCTCCTATTCTTGTGACTAAGTTTGTGATGTTTTTAGTTTTGGTTTTAGTATATATGCTTACCTCAGCATAGGTATATATAATATACACTAAATTACATGAATTAAGTATATACTTCGTATATACTATGGTATATATGAGTGTATATGAGCAGCGGTAGGATGATGGTGTGAAAAATAACTTGCCGCTCCTCCCTATTTATACTTCTCAGCCGAAGCCTCTCGTGATTATCCGATTGCACAACCATATTATCATGTGAGCATGTATGATAGGAAGGGAAAGACAAATGCATGTGGGTGAAATCCCTTGGTACCTTGGATCATACTTTGTATTTGCCTAAGACCCATGCTCGTGCATTGCAGACCCATGTGCAAGTATCTTTGGGGTTGGTTTCAAAAAAATAATATAAGGAGTAGCAATTATATTATAGATATATTCCTTCACATGTATTGTTTGTATGTTGTGTAGCATGACTTGATGGCCGGGGTAAGGCATGGTGCATGTATATTATTGGTACTATGTATGTGGTTATTATTATTACTATGATATGTACTTCGTATATTATTGCTATATTATGTCTATATTATTATTGTTGTATATTATTATTGTTTTGGCTCTATTATTGACATGTTTAATGAGGTAGTCATACCATACAAATTATTAGTCCTATTACTCCTATGCGCAGAACATACATGTGATAGTGTATTTTATATCTGATGCATGTGTATTTTAATTTATGTGTGAACATATTCTTATCCGCCCCTTTTTAAAATAATATGTCTCTTTTAGAGTTCATCATATGTTCTCAAAATTCCTCACTTATAAAACAAACCTCCCTTTCACTATTTAAGTCATTAAAATTTTATTTGATTTACTGAATTATTAAAATGTCATTTTCGTAACATTTTACTTGACTAATAAAATTATTTATTTTACATTAGTTTTTCGGGGTATCACATTCACATACGAAGGTTTTCAGAGAGCATCAGATTAACCAATGACTCTCTGTTGTGGACGAAGGAGGCTTACAGTATCGGTCAACCGATTACTCCCTTTTATGGACGAAGAGAGAAGAAATAATTGTACTAACCGATGTCTCCTAAGGTGACTTTGAAGTACTGGGGAGTTAGGGAGGCGATATGGGCAGAACGAAGGGGCTAGAGTGCTAGACGAAGGGATGTAGAAGATAGAGGCCAAGAGCATCGTAATTTCTGATGGGTCTTAGGATGGTCGCAGATTGGGGTTTGGGGAGGTTTATTTTGGGGCGGGTTATGAAATTTATACTTAGGTTATTTGGGTGGGTGGGATAGGGTGTACTGGGTTGGGCTTTAACTGCAAATAGGCTGAGGTGAATCTGTATATGGG